CTAATTCCACCTCAGTTTTGTTATGATTAGAGCCAACCCATCCTGCAAAATCACTTGTGTCAAGGTAAGGNGCCCTGGGAGATTCTATTACTCAGACTCTTTATACCGACTAATTTATTAAGTCCAAGCAAACAAAAAGAAGTTTCTGCAGATCTCCGTAATTCCTGCATGTGGGTCCGGACGACGTCCAGCTCAGGGAGGAGCTCGGACAGGTAATTTGGGTAGGCTCAGTTTGTGGGCAGGACAGCTGACCTAGGGAGAGGCAGTTGTGTAAATCGTCCGTTTGGGGAGGTCCGCTCCAGTACCTGGTGTGGTGCTGCCGGAAAGAGCGAAGACTCACTTGGAAGAGGTGAGTATTGCGAACCCCCTTGGCGGTTGGGAGGGGGCCCTGGGGTGTGCCTGTGTGAGACGTTCTCTGAGAACGAAGCAATTGTGGACCCCTAAGTAGTGCGGTTCCTGTCGCCCGCGAGGGAGCAGGCCAAGAACAGGGGGAAGTGTTTGTGATTTGTGTGAGTGCGAGCGAGAAAGAAGGCACCCCAGAAGATGGGATTGGGGAAGAGCAAGGCTTCCTCACCCATGGGAGGCTGTAAGGTAGAGCAGCCAGATGGTCCCTCTGATGGGGAAAGACTTCTGAAGTCTAGAAGTTCCCAGGGAAGGGAAGGATTCGGAAGTAAAATGAGGAACTTAAAAAAGGACCCTCTGAGGGAAAGACGGTCTGCGCTAGGCAACTGCAGCTCTCAGGGAGAAAGGAATCTTGTGGTTAGGGACTTGTATACTGGGGAGGAAGATAAATCTCTGAGTGAGTTAGGGAGTAATTCACAAGAAGGGAGAAGGCTTAAAGTAAGCGGCTTTGAGGCTAGGTCGCAGGGGATTCCACCAGACAGTCCTTTAGGTACATTGTTAAGAAATTGGAGCAGTTACCCACATACTTTTGGCAAATCTAGAGAAAAGATGGTCTATTACTGTATTGAAGTATGGGGAGACAAACAAAGAGGTTCAGGTGGTGGAGGTGTATATTGGCCAGTGTACGGCTCTTTTGAGAGACGGATTTGTGAGATCCTTAACTGGCATGTTAGTGGCAACAGACCCTATAGTCTGGAAGAGAATTATTATGCTCTTATCTGGTTGGGGGCAAGCACACCTACTTACTTATTCCCTTTAAGGGAAAAGAGGGGGCAGATAAATTGTAATGAAGATCCAGAGTCCTGGAACTTACCCCCACCTTATATTCCATCTGGTAATGGAGGGAGTGCAATGACACCGAGTGCCCCTGAGGAGCCAAGAACCGCCTTTTTATCTACACAAGGGCGGGAATCCTCCATATTGTTTGCAAAAGAGCGGGAAGCCTCCATTTTACCTGTGGAGAAGCGAGAAGCTGCCATTTTGTCACCCACTTCCACTCTCACACTTGCAAAAGAATCCAGTGAGCTGCCTTTAGAGTCTAACCTTAAGATAACCCCTGGAAATACTGAAGATCCTCCTCCACAGTCACAACTGTACCCCCTCCGAGAGACTGCCCTAACTGGGAGACAGGGTGGGATAAGATTTGTATCCGTACCTCTAAACTCCAGAGATGTAAGGGCTTTTAAGAAAGAAATGGGGAACTTGTTAGAAGACCCTATAGGTGTTTCGGAGAGATTCGATCAGTTTCTGGGGCCAAATACTTACACTTGGGATGAGATGCATGCTATACTAGGCATCTTATTTACTGTGGAAGAAAGAGGAATGATTAGGGTAGCTGGTATGAGAAATTGGGATAGAAGACATCAACAAGGTCCAGCGGCTGATACAAAATGGCCTAATGAAAAGCCGAACTGGGACAACCAGAGGGCAGTTGATAGAGCTCAGATGGACGATTTGAGGAGCATGATCGTACAGGGAATATGGGAATCTGTTCCTAGAGGGCAGAACATAGATAAAGCATTCAAGGAATATCAAAAGAAAGATGAATCTCCTACAGAGTGGTTGGAGAGATTGAGAAAGAGTTTTCAGTTGTATTCTGGAATGGATCCTGAGGACAATGCTATGGGGCAGGTGGTGCTTAAACTTAGGTTTGTGCAGGGGTCATGGGAAGATATTAGGAAGAAGTTGGAAAAGAATCGAGATTGGCAAACAAAAGGCTTAGATTTGTTGCTGAGAGAAGCTCAGGAGGTGTATGTTAGGAGAGATGAAGTAAAAGAGGAAGAGAAGCAAAAAAGAAAGGAGGACATTCAGAGAAAACAAACAAGAATTTTGGTGGCTGCTATCAAAGGAGAACAGAAAAACGGTAGAGATCAAGGAAGGAAAGAGTCTTTGAGGTCTGATGATCAAGGACAGCCAAGGAGGCATAGGAAAGTGAACTTTAGAGAAATTGAATGCCATTACTGTGGCCAGAAGGGACATATGAAGAAAGATTGTAGAAAAAAGCTACGGGATGAGCATGTTTTTCAAGAAGATTGAAGGTGTCAGGGGCTCTATTTTCTGGGGACCCGGAGAGGTACAGAGCCCTTGATAAAATTAAAAGTGGGTCCTCAGCAACAAATTATAGAGTTCCTTGTGGACTCGGGAGCAGAAAGATCTACTATTCAACAATTACCTCAGGGATGTATAATTTCAACAGATAAAGCTCAAGTAATAGGAGCAAAAGGGGGGCCCTTTCAGGTACCTATAATCAGGAATGTTGAAATAGAGGCTTCCAATAAATTTACCTTGGGAACCTTTTTATTAGTTCTGGAAGCGGAATACAATTTGTTGGGGAGAGACTTAATGATAGAGTTAGGGATTAATCTGGAAGTTTCAGAACAAGAGTTGAAAGTAAAAATTTATGCCCTTACAGCAGAAGATGAAACCAAAATTAGTCCAGAGGTATGGTATACCCCTGATACTATAGGGAAGCTAGACATTGAGCTCTTTGAAATATCCATAAAAGATCCGGATAAACCTATCAGAGTAAGACAATACCCAATCCCTAATGAAGGGAAAGTTGGCCTTAAGCCTACTATAGAAAGATTGTTGGCAAAAGGATTGTTGGAACCTTGCATGTCACCCCATAATACACCCATCCTACCTGTTAAAAAGCCTGATGGGACCTATCGGTTGGTACAAGACCTAAGGGAAGTCATGGCGAGGCTTCGCGAACGAAGATTTGGGAAGGCTCTATCCACATTTGCTACAGGCACGTTGGTGGCTTATGAGGCCAATACGTGACAGACAAATCCGATTGCAAAAGGCGCAGCAGAAAGACTCCTTAGATGGTGTATTCT